TCATTTTTTTTTCTCTTCAATGCTTTTTACATAATATCGTTTCTTATCTTATCCAATGATTTTGCACGGTTGTTGAACGCGGAAATATTATTTCTTTATTAACCCAAAAAAGAGAATCGCATTAAAAGCTTCGAACGATCAATGCAACGAGCCAGTATTTTTACTTTTCTTACGAGAAAAATAGTTTACATCTAAAAGACATATTTTTTAATTATTTATAATATTCCTTCTATCTCTCCATCTTTCTCTCGTATTTATCACTATTGTTGTTTCTTTGTAATAAACAATTTATGTATAAAAGAAAATAATTATGAAATACACAATAATGCGTGCGCCGTACGTACGGTTATATTTTAACGTTCGTACCATTTTTATCCTTTTTTTTTTTTTTTATTAATAATCGTTACGATAATTATGATAATAATTACCAGTTGACCAGTCATCAAATTGATTTAACAATTCGATTTTATAATTACCGACACAATTATAATCAACATATTCATTTTTTTTTCCACCTCCTTCTCCTCCCACTCAACTTTCCTACCCTTTTATTTCTTATCCTTTTAATGTTTTTTCTTCTCTATGTATAATGTAAGTACGTGTATCCTAAAAACTAAACAACTTAATTATTGTCTATCATCTATTTATGTACGTAAAATCACCGAGCTTGTTTTTTTGTTTTTTTTTTTTGTTTTTTTTTTGTTTTTTTTTTTAAACATTATCAACGACGATCCAACGATATAATCCGCACATATATTAAACCTTTTCAATATTTTTCCCATCTATTTCTAATATGTAAATAATATTCGTTCTTTCTTACATTCGTTCGTTATCATTATTATTATTTACCCACGATCAAAATTACACACTTGTGATTAATAAATATGGAATTATTCACGTATATATATATATATATATTTTTATTTATTTATTTAAACGTTCGTTCCATCATTTCTCGCCCAAATTCTATTCTTCTTTTTCGGGTTAATTTAACGGACACAATGTTTTTTTTTTTTAAACGTCCGTGTAATTATATTAATATTTAACCAACAATCTCTAATTTTTTTTTTATTTCTTTCTTCTTTTTTTTTAACCATCTCTCTCTTTCTCTCAATTTTTTGTTTCTTCTTTTTTTATTTTCTTACTCTCATATATTCATACATAATATTTTCTTTCGCTCTTTTTTTACTTTCGCACTTCATTTTTTTGTTTTGTTTAAAACCATAAAAATATCCAATGCCAGGTATACCATCGGCGTACATCACTATTGTGTATATAATATAATATATATATTTATTTTTTAGGTTTATACGTAATAATAATAATATTAATAATAATAAAAATAAAAATAATAGTAATAACAACAATAATAATAATAATCATCATCATCATCTTCATCATCATCATTATCATCATCTTTTACGTACGTATGTAATGCATGTGTATATATATATTGTTGTTGTTTGTTTGTTTGTTAATTTCCTTGTATTATAGTAAATATATGAATATAACAATCTTCAATAAAATGTATCATCATCATGCTTTTGTTTCTTGGTAATAACACATGTGTGTGTATTATACTAGATTCAATCTAGGTACATACATGTATAATGCAATTTTATTGAATCTTTTACGTGTATGCATTTTTTTTTTATTATTTATTACGTCTACGAATCTCAGTTATCTATTATATGAAACTAACGTTTTTCTTGTTAATAATATTTCTACAGTTTTAATGGTTGCTTTTCGACTAAAGGGATTGATGGAATGGCGAGGGGTTGGGGTACAGGGGTGGGGAAAGGTAGAAGGGGAAGATACATTACACGGGATTTATCGGAATCCACAAAATGTTTAAAAGGTGTGCACGATCAATATACAATTATGTATAATATAATAATAATAATAGTAATCATAAGTAAATATGCTTTCACATTCTTGAGATTGGAGTGGGGATGGGGAGGGAATTTTTTTGTTGTTTTCGTTTCTAAATTTTTTTTTGCATTTTTTTGCATTTTTTTTTCTTAAATCACGATTCGTACATCGAGACAAAGGAGGATAGTGAGCGCCGAGTGTGTTTAATAATAATTCGTCGTTGATCACCGTTTTATCGCAAATCAGGGGGATTAATTTAACAACGTTAATTATTTCTATATAAACGAAGAAGAGAACATACCATCCCCCAACCAACCAACCAACCAACAATCATTTTCGTGGAAACATGGCAATTGGGGTTTAAAAGCAGATGGGAGAACAAAAATGCTCCTGTCAATTTGTTCCTTTTTTTTTTTTTTTAATTTTTGCTTCTGTTATTTTGTTTTCTTTTACTTTCTTGTATTTTTTTCTTCCATCATTCCCTTCCATTCTCGAAGGAAGCACGTTGTTTCATTTTTATCATCTCTCTCTCTCTCTCTCTCTCTCTCTCTTTTTCTCATTCTTTTTCTTCAAATTTTTGTATTTGTATTATCAAACGTGTGAGCTGTACAAAACATTGACAATGAGCGAAAATGATAACGACGATTTTTATCTCCCGTTTTTTTTTTTTTTTTAAATATATTTATTTTTTCTTCTTGTTATTATTATTCTTCTTTTTCTTTTAGTTAGTCTCTTTGATTTTTTTTTTCTACGTCTTTGGTTTTGTTCATTAAAGCGAGAAAGCTGAAAAACTTGTGCGTACCGCAGACTCTTTACTACATTTTCATCTATATAAGTTTTTTATTATTTGTTTTTTTTTTTTACTTTTATTTTTTTTATTTTTGAGGAAATCTGCTCCACTTGTTTCCCTCTCTCTCTCTCTCTCTCTCTCTTTTCCTTATTTTTTTTCTCTTTCTATCTTTTATCCTATCTCTTCTCTTATTTCTTCTCTTTTTTTTCATTTTTTTTTTCTTATCAAATCTTGCAATATTAACCGAGAAAAAAGGCGAACAACTAGCTCGTTGACATTCATCTCACATAATTATATTTGTTTCCTCATAAGGGGGGATAAACAGGAGGGTAGGAGAGAGGCAGGGAAGGGGAGGGATGGTGGCGGGACACAGGGTTATGCAATTTACAACGACGTTTGAACACCTTTGAAAAAACTGCTGCTCGCAATATTACCGAAATTGTAATACAGTAGTTAGTAATATAATATTTAATAATAATAGTAATAGTAGTAATAGTAGTAGTACGTGGTAGTAAATAGTAGTTAGCCGAAGAAAGGGGTTTACGGCTGTTTTCTGTGTAATAATTGTTTACTGTAAAAATGTCGACACTAAGAGAGGAGAGGAGGTACTTGTATCAACCCTCTCAAGCTTAAATCACTCAAAGAAAGCTTTAATCGAACCTGACAAGCAATAATACACAACCCAATAATCTTCTACCTTTCTTCTTCCTCTTCTTCTTCTTCTTAAATTCGTATTATTAAATCTTCAATAACATTTTTGTTTGTTTGTTTGTCCTTTATAATTCCTTTTCTACTTTTTTTTATTTTACTTCTTATTATGTTATTCTTTTTTTTCTAACCTCTTCTTCTTCTTCTTCTTCTTCTTTCTCGTTCACGTTTACTTCTTGAATTCTTCTCTCTTCATATTAATATTTCGTTCTTCTTAAATTTATAAATATTATTAGCCTCGTCCACACAAGGGAGTATACAATACATTTTTAATCGTAAGGAAGAGATTGAGTGGATAATGAGAAAGGGAAAAAAGTTTTGTGGATAAAGAGAATGATTGTGGTTAGAGGGAAATTAGCAGGGTAACACACACATGCCTCGAAAAAAGGGTCGGGTTGAATGAAGGATGATTATGCTGCTGTGTGTAATTGTTCCTTGACAATAATCGCATTATATACGTAAAACACACGACAATCGCAAATGCTAATGATAAATTCACGCTTTTTTTTTTTTTTATACATGATTAAAATTCGCTTTCATTTTATTTTATTTTATTTTTTTTTTTTTAAACGATCTAATTAGATTTTTTTAATATTATTTTTTTTTTCGTTCTCACATCGTCATATAGTATATATAAGTCGTAAATATACTAATTACTTTTTAAATGGGTGACTAAAGGGTGGGGAGGGGACTAGTAGGACAGAGGAAGGAGAAAAAAGAGAGGGGATGTGGGATAAAAATTTTTCTGGGGGTTTACTTTTAAGGTGATTTAAGGGCGATTTTATTTTTAATTTTTTTTTCTTCTTTTTTGTTTTCTATTTCTTTTTTTCTTTTTCATTAATCTTTTATTTTATTCTGAAATTCTTCCTAAACGGATACTTCGTAACGACTATTCCTTTTATGTTGGGGTTTTTTTTCTTTATTTTTTTTTTTTTTTAAGTTTTTTTTTTCTTTCTAGCATTATAATAGAGTTAGATAAATGTTAAACGAAGCTCAGTTGATTGTTTCGGGGGAACGACCACCTCGCTTTGTGTTAAATACATTTTTTTCTTATGTCTGTCCGTCTGTCTGTCTTTGTCCGTCTTGAACTGTTTCTCTCTCGTTTGTTATTAATACAATAAATTTGTGTTCTTACTTATAATCAGGAATCTTTTTGAATTTTTTTTTACGTTCTGTTCTTCTTCTTCTTTTCTTTCTTTTGTTTTTGTTTACCTTCTTTCTTTCTCAATTTTTCAAAAAGAAGCGAGGTGTGTATTACGCGTATCATTCTTATTTGTGTATTACCGTGTATGTACCTGTCCCTGTGTGTGTGTGTGTTGTGTTTATCTCACGTTACTATACTCATATATATATATATATGATAGTACTTCGAAAAGATCGATCCGCGTTATCATCGAAACGATAGTTTCAATGTTTTCTTTTTTGTTGCTGTTTAAATTTTGTAATGTATTTCTTCTTTTGTATACCGTGCTCGACGAATCTACGAAAATAATTTTCTTCACTGAAAATTTTCAAATGATTCGCTTAGCGCTAATTTTTGTTTGATTTCAGGACGATGGATTTCTTTTTTTTTTTTGACATTGTTGCTATTGTGGTTGCATCTTTATGGTTTGTTTGTTTTTTTCTTTTACTGCTGCTGCTGTCTCTTGCTGCTGCGGTTTAATTACTCTGGGATTTCACGATAAATGTCCTTTTTTATTATTATTTTTATTTATTTTTTTTTTCTATCTACGACCCTGGCGAGGAACTTTGCGTGCTTCCTTCTTTTCATATTAATTTTCTTCTTCTTCTTCTTCTCTCGTAGTTATCATCTCAATATCGTCTAATTATTTTCGATTGACAAACTAATTTTTCGACGTCAGGATCGTCACGAATTCTGAAAAAAGAAAAACGGAAAAAAGTCAAAAAACTAAAAGAAAAAACAAATAATTTAGTACGTGGTTTCTGTCATATCATTGGTCGCACAAAGAAAAAAGTTTACTTAAAAATATTTATTACTTTAAATATAAAATAAATAAATAAAGATATTTATAATATTAAATATTACTTGGACCGGAAAGTAATGTAGTCTTTCTTCAACCTTTAAATTCAAACGAATAAATATTTTTTAACAAGTTTTTAATTTTTAATCAATAATTTAATTACCACCCTCGTTATCAACAACCATTTTCCTCCATCCAGTATGCAAATTTTTATTAGTGGACCGATTTAAATCAATCTCGGTTTTTTGAAATTATATACATATATATATATATATATAATAATATTAAAACGTTGAGCGCCATGCTCATTTTCAAGGAAGTCCCCGTCAGGCCACGCGCGCCGCTTAGAAATATCATTTTCTACGCTGTCAAAGGGAAAGTCTAGTATCCGCTACAGATGGCGGACGTGGCGCTCAACGTGTTAATATTTCTATATAATTTAATAATATTAATATAATATATAATTGTAAGAATTGTGTAAAAAAAATTAGACCGCTGGACGGATTGGTACCCAGAATCTTTGCTTTCCGTGCGACTGCTCTTAATCTATTGAGCTATCCAGAACCCACCGACCCAATCTTTCTTCACAAATACTTGTAATAAGTTTGTCGAAGGCATTTTCTTTCCACATTCCAAATCCTTACAACAACAAATTTCAACTCTGTATACTTTCGTCATTTAAACATCTCTTTCTCTTATACGCCTTCTTCATAAATTGTGCGTATATAGTATATACAGTTGTTAATTTCGGGACTAGTCTTGTAGCGATCCCCAGGTAGTAGGATGGTGGTGTCTCAATCACCACGGACGACACAGCACGTCCTCAGGTTACGGGGATAGAGGAAGGGCCTCCCTCTCTTTTGTTCTGTATAGGGGGAGGGGAGGAATGAGGTTGGCTGAGAATTAATTGAATAAGCGTAAGTTGCGGACTGAGGGATTGGGAATTGGCCCTTCCCGGTTTGGGGGTTGGGCGTAGGTTTGATAAGCCCACAACACATCAAAGATCCAATTTTATCATGAAACAACAACACGTCCTTCCATACGTATATCATTATTCTGAACTCCGTTGAATATACTTTATGAAGAAACAACGATAATACGTCCTTTCATACACATCATTCTGCACTCGAGATGATGCTGGGCGTTTATAAAATAGGCCCCCTTTTGCCTAGTGTGCGCAAAGCTCCAAATGTAGAGATCACTAACCGTTATCACACGTCGCCATTATTGTGGTCTCGTTCGTTAGACATTGATATAGAATGCAATTGCTAAAGCGGCCGTCCGCCGCCTAAGTTCTTCATGCTAACCGTTTCCACGTCGCCACTACAATTTTATAAACTCTTCCTTTTTTATATTCTTTATTTCAATTAATTTTTCCTTATGTGTTTGTAAAGATGCAGAAGCATGTAACGAAACAAACCTCCATCAAGGACGAGCCCCCAATTATAAGATTTGTGAAAAAAACTGGATTTTGCATGAACTGACTGGACCGGGACTCGAACCCGGACCTTCGGCTTTCCGGGTGACTGCTTTTATCCATTGAGCCATCCAGGGCCTACCGACAATTCTTCTTAACGAATGCTTATAAGTTTAGCATAGAGTTCGTCCCACACAATTAGATATATAATAATATATGCTATAGGTATATATACTATTTATAATATATAATAATATAATTATAACAATATATTAATTATATAATAATATTATATAAAAATAATTGACATGTGTAGAAACGACATTATTTTCCGGTTCCACGAATATTTCTACGCGTTTCTTTTTTTTTTATTGCAAGAGAGAGAAAAAAAATGTATACCAAGAAAAAAGAGATAAATTTCATTGTCCTCGAGTAACACGATAAACAATTTTTATATTGTCATTGAAAATAATTACCTTCGTAGTTAACCATACCATCGCCATCAAGGTCTGCCTCTTTGATCATGTCGTCGACTTCCTCCTCCGACAATTTTTCTCCTAGATTTGTCATTACGTGACGTAATTCTTTAGAAGAGATCAGGCCGTCTTTGTTCTTGTCGAATACCCTGTGTATGTATGACGGAAATAATTATCGAATTAATTTCCGGCCGGCTAGGGGAAAAAGAAAAAAACCAAAAAAGAAAAAAAACGAGTCGAGAGAGGTTGAGTGGAAATAGTAAAGAAAGAGAAAATAGAAAAGAAATTAGACCAAAAAAAGAAAAAGAAAAAAAGGGTTAGGTAAGAAAGAAAAAAGAATTCTCTAGTGGCACAACCGACTTTCGTAAATATCGATTAGCAAGCTAGTTAGTTCGAGAGTCACCTAAACGCTTCGCGTAGCTCGTCTTTTCCATCTGCACCCTTCATTTTTTTCGACATCATTTGCAGGAACTCATTAAACTCGATGGTACCATTACCGTCTTGATCAACTTGATTCACCATGTCTCGTAATTCCGTATCTGTAAAATAAATAAACAATAACATGATGACAATTTAAATTAATTACTATGTTCATTATAAAGTTTTTTTTTTAATTATAATATTTTACCCAATTACTTTGAACTAAATTTCAAATGTCACCAGCAAATATATATACATATATACTATGACATTAAAAAAAAAAGAAAAAAATAACTCATTTTATACTTATACAAGTTTTTTAAGAATATTGTTTAATAGTTTATTTTGTCATTTACAACTGCCAATTAAAATAAAAATAGTTATTTCGACATGACATTGACCTCGAAATATCTACCTTGATGAAGAATTAATATAAAACACACACACATTTATATTTATAGATTATTATGTGTAACTATATATTAAATGTATAATATATAATTATTAATGTATTATATATATATTTTTATAATATTATTTATTTTATAATATTTATTTATAATATTATATATTTATATATATATTTTAACTTTATTTATATAAAGTAACATAAATAATATTTAATAAAATATTAACAATCTACACACTATATGTGTGTATTATTTTTACACACGTTTTATTTATTCGTAAACAAAATAACAGATTATTATACAAATATTTTTTAACATATAATATTATTAATATATTTATAATAATAATACAATAAATAAATCATATATAATATAATAATATTAATATATATAATAAAATATAATATATTATTTTATTTGTTAAATAAATAAATATATGATAAAATAGAATATTAAATAGAAATAATTTATGAACATTATTTTCGTTGGTTTTCGATACGCATAATTGGGAAAAATAAAGAAAGATAAAGAAAAATAAAGAAAAAAAAAAAATGATTTTTAAAAATCTTATTCGTGCAGTAAAAGATATTTTATCCACGTGATGCTTTCATCAAAGAAAGAGAGAGAGAAAGGGAAAAAGAGAGTATGGCTTGAAGCCAGATCGTATTTACCTTCTGGCCTACGAATAACGATGCCGAATATTTGTGCGCGCGTGCACTCGATACGCATAAACATAAATCGTACGTACACATACGTTTAAAAAGCATTTTCTTACTCACCGGATGGTCTCTGTCCCAATGATCGCATGACCACTCCAAGTTCCGCCATGGTGATTGTACCATCCTCATCTTTGTCGAACAACATAAATGCTTCTTTGAATTCTACAAATAAAAAACAAAGAATAAACAAAAATAACTATAATCGATATAATTAATTTAATTYAATCGATATTATCAATTAAATTATTCGAAATTTCTGAAATTTTTAAATTTATAATTATAATTATTATACGTGATTGTATCATACAATAAATTTGATTATTATTGATCTTTATTTAGAAATTTTAAAAGAGCTCGTTCTATCGTAAAATTCTTGACATCGAATTTCTTTTTTTTGCCATTTTCAAACAACGAAGGACATTTATTTTAAAGCAAGCTAATTATTTGATATTTTCAAATAACACAAAAATCATTTTACTTGCACGAAGGATATAATTATTATTAGAAACGATTATTGTTAAGAAAATAACATTGTTCTCAAAAATTTTGGTAAATCTTCAATTTAATGAATATTCAAAATTATAATATTTAATGATGTTTAATAATTTAATGATTTAAGATGTTTAAATATAATGATGTTTAATGATTTAAGAAAAACACTAATTTTTCGTATAAGCTCCTTATCGGTAAATACCAAATAAAAACTATCTTCGTTATATAATATTCGTGTTATAAATTCTTACACAAAAAACATGATACAAGAGTACTCCGTTAATGGATTATAATTAATTAATTATATTAATTGGATTGAGTGCATTAATAATACAACCAATTAAAATTCCATACTATTTTAATCAGATCAAGTATTATATTTGAAAAATATTTACATTAATATAACGTACAAATACACGGCGAACTTTTCAATATGTAAAAATAAAAAAAAAAAAAAACAAGAAAAAACAAAGAGAAGATAAAATATGAAATCGGCACGATTTCAAAAACCGTACGTATAAATTTTTCCTATCAACGTAGAAAGCACACGCGAGACCTATATATTGCCATAGTTCTCGATACAACCACTCGTACTTTATCCAATTTCTATTTCATGACCTTATAAAATAGCAAACGTTGACCGATATATATTTCTCTTCTTTCCTACGAAGAGACACACACGCGAGTTTAATCGATTCCGATCTCTGGCTGTGTGCCGTCTAAAAGAAAAAAAAAAGTCTACAAAAAAAGAAAACAATTTTTATATTGAAATAATTAACGTGTTATCTCGGCTTGTGATAAAAAACAAGACAAGACAACGATTAACCCTTTTTTAAAAATAATAATTAAATTATATTAAATTTTAATAATTTAAATATAATATTTGTTTACCTATATCTAAAAAGAAGAAGAAGAAGAAAAAAAATTGTATTTTAACGCATTACGCATATGTGGCCATAATTATGATAGTGGTTTAATAAGTCAAAATTTAAACAACAAAAAAATAAGTTTATCAGTTATTTCACAACAAATTATTTGAAATCAGATTAATTCAATGTAATTTTAAAGATATTATAAAAAATAAATTGTTAGGATAATAATATTTATTAATAAAATAAATATATTTATAATATATTTATAAATATTAATAATAAATATTATATTAATTGATTAAACAATAAAATATTATTTAATTAAATAATAATAAATATTATATTAATAAAATAAATATATTTATTAATAACATAAATATACTTTTATATTATATTAAATATTTCATATTATTTATATAAAATTTCATTTACATAATGTTCGAATGTAATTCTTTAACTTTTTAAGTGCACATTTATTTGAAAATTACTTTGATATATTATAATAATATAAATTAATATTAGAAATAATAATATTAAATATTAGATTAATAATAAATTTTCATAATATAAAAATGACTCACATTACTTCGAAATAAACCAAAATAAACCAAAGTTAAATCTCATTTCAGTTTCAATGACGTATCAGAACGTCATGTGCGTCTTTATCCAAACAAATGCAAGACGTACTTATACGTCAAATGTAGCCAAAGGGTTAAAATAAACTTTTTGTTTTAACGATTAAGTTCTATTCCTTTTTCCAAGGCTAATTAATTTCTCTCTGTTCTTACGTTGTAAAATTTTATTATACTTTTATAATTAAAAATCAGAATCAATTACACCAACTTCGTTTGAAGGGGATTGATAACAAAAGATTTTCATCTTACTACCTACGAAGAATGTAATCTTTTAAAGTAATTTTTTTCGTTGTTTTATTTTGTTTACCAATTCAAATTTTGTTTGAGAAAGAGAGGAGAGCGTGGGGTTAAGAGATGTAAAAAGAACAAGAATTTTTAATAAAAATTCTTGCAATTTACTTACTCGTTCATTCGTAACCGTAGTATTAGGAGAAAAAAATTAGTGGGTATAAAGGGCCAGCCAGAGTGAAATAAATTCTTGACGAATTCGTGTAAGGAATACGTTCGTAATTCAGTTTTTAACAAGCAAGGAAGCAAGCAAGCAAGCAAGATTACGTTTCGTTTAGTAAGCAGGAAACAAGAAAACAGAAAGAAAAAAAGAAAAAAAAGTAATATTGAATGTTTTCGTAATTAAAAAACTTGCTGCCGAATACGATCCGCTTTGCTGTAGGTGGATAAAAAAAATCCCTTGTAAAAATCTTATGTACTTACATATATGTATTTAAATATATACAAACGTAGGTATACAAAAAATAAAAGAAAGGAGTAATGGTTTAAAACTGAGTGGCGAGTTACATTATTACTATATACATTTTGCATATGTAAATATTCGAACCGAATGCAAAAAATTAAATGCTGCTGTAAAAAATCTTAGCTGCGTTTCTTTTTTTTTGTTTTGTTTTGCTCGTTACGTAAAAAGAACCCAAATTATTTTTATTTACGACAACATCGTAATGGCAAAATAATTAATTGCCAATGAATAAACAGAAACATAATTATTATTTGTTAATTAATATTTAATTAATTTATAATTAAAAATTAATGTATTATATTAATATTAATTAATATTTAATATTAAACTTACCAGCGACTTGATCCTCCGTGAGACCATACTCGGACTGAAAATAAAAAAAAAAGAACATTTTTGCATTTATTTCGTAACGAATAAGATCATCTAAATAAAAAATAGAAATGTTATTATTATTTACAATAGATAGGTAGTAGAGGAATTTAGAAATTTAACAGTGAAATGATTACTTTACGTAAATGTAACAATTTATTGTCTAACGCGTTCTAAAGTTAAAATCAAATTGAGAAAGGAAGAGAAAGAGGAAGAGAAAGAGAAAGAGAAAGAGAAAGAGAGAGAGAGAGATAGATAGAGAATTCGTGTTCTAAACAAGTATATAATCAGTCAAGTGGGCGTGGCATGACGTTCGTAAAGTTCGCATAATTAACGACGGAGCTTTGTGACTTGCGAATACCGTCATTATTATGTCGATTTATATCCACCTTTCATGTTTACGCCTGTATTTCACACGATAGATCAGTATTAATTGTTTGTCGAATAATCAAAAGCTACAAGTTGTTGTTTAACATTATAATAAAATTATTAAAAAGCTTTTAAGTGTTTAAATATTATTAATATATAAATTTTACAAATATTTAAATCTTATTATATTAATATTTTTAAATTTTATTAATTAGTATTTAAATCTTAATATTAATACTTTATCTTATTTAAAAACATTTAAGTAATATTAATAAAAGTATGAAACACACACAGTTTTTTAACATTGTCAAAGTTAAAAATTATGTTATGTTTCGTTGATTAGATATAAAATAAAAAATTAATACGACATAACAACAGAATAACAACGTTAAAAAAAAATAAATGGCAAATAATTCATGAAAATCCGATTAAAAACAAATTCCCGGGATCATCGTTCATAATTTTTTGTTTATTTTGATAGAAGAATAAACCGATCGATCTTCTTTGTAATTTTCGAACTTTTTAATAACGGAAGTTGATATCGAAAAAACCGACGAAATGGAGATGTCACCAACACCGTAAATCCATACAGTCAATCCTTTACCTTTTTCTTTCTTTTTTGTGTGTTGTGTCAGGAAAGAAGCTTTTGTAGGATAGAGAAAAAAAATATTGCGGTTCAATCGCGAACGATTTCATTTCCATATCCATTATTTTCGATGTCCACACATTTCGGCGGTGTCCTTGTATTTTTGTCAGTACAGGTTTGACAGTATAGGTGATGTTCTTTTTAGGTTTGGATAATAAAAAGAAAGAAATAGAAAGAGAGAGAGAGAGAGAGAGAGAGAAAGGAAAATTGGAAGAGAAAGAAAGAAATAGCAAGAGGTAAAGAAAGAGAGAAAGAAAAAGAGAATTTAAGAGAGAGAATGAGAGTGAGAGTGAGAGTGAGATTAAATGATAAAAAACGAGTGACACTATTTTTACGATTTCACATGTTTTTCTAAAAAGTAGAACAACACTCACAGAAAGATTTCTGATTTGACAATCGATTTGATTAGTTAATCGTCGAAGTTTACGATATTCCTGAGTATATTTTCTTGAGTCGTCGTTGTCGTCGTCGTCTGCCATAACAGTTGTGTGACGACTATCGAATAAGATACTAAATTCGAATATATATATCTTTCAGGTCTTTTTAAGATTCAGCAAAAGAGAAAACGAGCGAACTAGATAGGATGGGGTTTTTGGCCGATTGCCTAGTTATGGTGGTGGTAGTAGGCTTTACGTTTGAATTCTCCCTCCCCCTTCCCCCCCCCCGCACCCAATAGCTATGATTTCATACGATGTTCACTTTTAATGAAGAGGTCACAACACACTCTTTTTATCAGACACTATACTAACTTCTATCTTATAATAAAAAATAAAATAAAATTAAACTACCACTCAACAACATGACACATAAAACTAACAAACTGTATTGATTTGTAAATTTCTAATATTTTGTTGTTTTTATTTTTAGTTTATTTTATCCTGAAAATGAGCAATTTTAACCTCGACTTGTCATCGGTCGATTTTCACGACACACAGCAACGATGCGTACTTTCAAAATGGAGCACCACGGTTAATTGCTTAAAATATTATCATTTATTATTTAATAAATGACGGGTAATGTAGCGTAGCTTTTTCACAAGTACCGTTTTAATAAAAATTAAATCAAATTTTTAAAGTGTCTTTCGTTCTTTTAAATTTTTTTTCTTTTTGTTTTTTTTTTGTAACCATAAAAACATCGTTGACAAATAAAGTACAATATCGTGCTTATAATTTGTATAAATTGAGAGTGGAAATTGGTTGGACAAGCGTATTGTTTGAATTATTATACACCATTTGAAATTTTTGTATGGATCTAACCGTTCCATGATAAATTGGTGTTGAATATTCTAACGCGATTCGTGTTCCGTTATAATGGTCACTATTCATATGATTAACGATAACTTTTAGTGATAATCTAGCGAACCGGTAGTGAAGAGAAACAGGTTGCGTGCTGAACTAGGTGAAAAATACGATAATATACTTTCATATTTTATAAGATACCACGAGCAAACGTGTTCTGCAGTGCAATATTTTTTTTTTCTTCTAACGTTGTTGTTTGGATCTGTACAATAAAAAATATCCCATTACGGTTACGTAAAGAAAATAATGATATGTCATATGAATTTTGTTATTAAAAAGAAACAACACAAAAAATGAGCTACGGAAAGTAGGATAAAGTTTTTACACATTTTTCACATTTTTAGTTGAATTTATAAACTGAATTGGATTTAAATTTTTATATCAAAAGAGAGAGAGAGAGAGATAGCAAATGGGAAATGCTTCTGTTATATTATGTTCCATTTATTCTATTAAATCTAGGTATTATAATAAGTACGTCAACTTCTTGGAAAAGAGGATCAAGGAATACGACCACTTGACAAGAATTTGTAAGACATTCAAATACCTAGTCAAAAAATAGATGTTAATGTCTTTAGGATTTTAAATCTTTGAATGTTTTAAAGATATATTATATTTTAATATAATTTTTCATAATTAATAATTCAATGTAATAGTTAAATAATTAAACGTTAGGTACTTTTGTGTGGATGCACAACGATGTTGTAATAAACTAAATCAACAAAATAGAAATCTAGGAATTTGAATAGAAATATAAAATTTATTTGATAGTATTCTAACAGAATAACGTTTGTTACGTTCTTTGAAGAACGTAAATTGATGAAAAATTGTGAAATATAAAAAAAAAAAGGTATCGGAAAATATTATATCATAGTTTGCAAATTTTTAAAACGAGTAAAGAAAATTTTCAAACAAAGCGTAGTTCGCAATATTTCAAAATAAATCAAATTTTCTGAGAAGAAAATTGTGATAGAAGATGAAATGAAGATGGTAGAATTTCAATGATTCTTGAAACGTCATATTATTTTTCTTTGAAACAAGTAATTCATTGTTACAGTTTAGAGAGAAAGAGAGTTAAACTTTCTCGTACTATTTAGAATTCTAGAGAATGAGACTGGAATGGAGTTTTACACTAGTTTCAAATTTAATCGGTAAAGTAAAAGATATATATTTTGAAAAAAAATAAACAAATCATATTAAATTATAAGAAATTGAATTGCAACGCGACGTATCTTTAATCAACGTCCATTAATTATTTAAAGGATATCCTAGAATTTTTTTTATTTTGTGTGTGTGTTTTTTTTTCAACTTAGTACATAGATAGTTTTTATGGCGATTATTTTTTAATTTTTATTGCCAATTTAAGGATTTATTATTTAGAGGTTATTTAGGTCTTTAGGTACTGTAAATTTTCAATAAATGGCGCTGTATTACAATTCAATTAGTTGGTTATATTCACGTCACATACGTTTTTTTCAGATTTACTAACCACTAGTAGCACAAAATATTGAAAAATATTGAATACACATGTGTATTTAATATTTTTATTAAATGTGTATTTAATATTTAATATTAAAAAGAGATTCAATGTCTTTTTAATATTAAATACACATGTATTCAATATTTTTCAATATTTTATCCTACTAAGTATCTTACTTTTTATATTTTTTTGTGTATTATTATTTTATGTATTCCATTTTAATTATGGTATTATTTTGTGTGTTGTTATATATATTAAAAATTTTATGTTATGTTATGCTTAATTTGAAATCCCAGAAATTATTTGCGAATATTGATTTGACTGCATTACATAGTTTAAAATTATATTATAAATATAAATTAAATATAAATTAAATATAAATATTAAATATATTATTAAATCAATATTTTATAACAACGCATGGCCGGAGTATCCTAGTATTCGTATATATTCTTATATACATACATAAGTACATTTAAACATTCTCATACATAAGAGATAAGTGCAAAATTCTCGTATGAAATAATTTATCTATGTTGATGAATAATTCAACGATTTATCTTTTCTCTATCGAATATTTCGATCTCATCAAACATGTGTAAAAACTTCAGTTAACTCTAAATTCCTAACCTCACTGTTTAAAAGTAGAATTTTTTTACTATATCAGGAAAGAAAAAAAAAAGAATTGAAGAAGAAGAAGAAGAAGAAGGAAGACAGAATCATGTTGATTGTAAAGTACTGTGGGAAAAGGAGAGCACAACTCGGTTGCTGCTCTTACATGAGTTAAAACTCGGGAAGCTTTTCGACGTTCAACGTTTTAGAAGAAGAAAAAAAACGAAATATCATCGAAGGAGGTGTTTTCATTCCTCGTTTTCCAACACTTTGATATTTTCTTCGAAACTCCTTTTATAAGAAGGAGTTGCCAAGGTCGAGCTTTTTGATTTAGGTCATGTCATTTTCAAGCAAGTTTCAAATAGAAAGAGAAAAGGGATAATAGAAAGAGAAAGAGAGAGAGAAATAGGGAAGAAAGGTTCGCATAAACTCACGAACAGATCTGATTGTGAAAGGAACTCGGTGTCTTCTTGGAATGCATGTGCATTCTCTCATCGTATATATATATATATATATATATATATATANTATATATATATATATATATATATATATATATATATATATATATATATATATATGTGCATTTATGAAATTCCATAGAATTTCAACATCAAACTTAAGACATCTTACGCGTGAGAATCCTTCATCGTCTTCACCTCGACAATTTCTTCAAAATTTATATTAAAATAAATATAAAAACATATAACTGTATAAAAATGTATTCATGAAATTGTATTTGTCTGCATATTTTAGAAACAATGTAATATCGTGTGTTATTTTAAAAAGAGAATAATTGTGACACACGGTAAAAGGTGAAAAATTTTGAAGGATACTTTAAAAATGTCCTTTTTTTTAGGAACAAATAATTTCTTACTAGCGAAATAAGAAATTATTTCGTACGCAAATTTCTATTTTGGAATTTTTATTGATAACGAGAAACTCTGATTCATATTTAATGTTAATTGATTTTGAAGTCAGCATTGATTATATCTTTTAATTTCATTTGTATCAAATTTATTTATTTTTTTTTTTTTAAATAAATAAAAAGAAGGAAAAATATTGGTGAGTTTGGTAAACAATTGAAAACGTTTGATAAAATGATAAAATTTGTTTTCTTTAATATCGATGAAAAAATAAATTCATATTACACGTGGTAAGTTGAAACTTGAACTTTTTTTTAAATGATAAACGAAAAAGAAATGGAACGTGGGAGCGTAGTTTAAAATGGCAGAACGATAAATAGCGATAGAAAAAAAACAAATATTCATTTTTCTATTGGGGAAAGATCGCGTACGATGATATGGAAAAATAAACAAAATTTTGACAAATGTATAGTTCAAAGATTATTACTCAAAATCGTTTTAAAAATGGATTTTGTTAATAAATCATGATTTTATCCACACTATCACGACTTACACTAATTTGTCTCGTTTGACAATCTATCGTACTAGTCAATCTTCTTAGTTTCCCGTAAGCCGAGGTATATTTCTTTTCCGTGTCGGCCATTTTCCCGGAAACACACTCGCGGAATAATTCTTCGTTAAAAAAGAAAAAGAACAAAAAAATTCTCTTTGAGTTTTCTTTAACAAACTTTAAAGATCTTTCCAAGATCCTTTCACTCACTTGTGTCGGATAAATTCACACATTTTACAGCATCCTTTAAGATGAAAATTACGATGCCGGTTTTACGTTATCCGATCGCACAGTTATCACACACACACACAAAAAAGGGAATGTTTGACAATTTATTTTACACGGTTGCTTTGATTTTTTTTTTTTTTGATTCTCTTCAGTTTCTTCTGCTTTAAACTTCACCCTTTTCTTTGATTCCTCCTACCACCTATATTCGTTCTTTATTATTACTATCGAAGGTTAAACACGTCCACCTTTCTTTTTTACAAAAAAAAAAAAAGAAAAAAAAAAACAACCCCTTGTGTGTTCTCGTTTGCTTTCACACAGTGAAGGAGGGGTCGATGCACATTACTCACGACAAGCTACTAGTACTAGCACCACGATTCCGAGCCAAAATAATATTTATGGACTACCCACCGACGTTATGTTCAAACTAAAAATCACTGTGTTTAGTCGCCAATGAGACCTAGCTTTATAACAACCATTTCTTTTTTTAAACCTTACTGTTTTCTCACTTTTTCTTTTTCTCTCTTTCCTGTTTATTATTATTTTTTTTTTTTTATTATATCTCGATTTATTTTGTTTTGACCCCTTTTTGTTTAGAATATTATTATAGATTGTAGGATTAATAATCAATACATTTCACTTTCATTTTCATTTAAGGTTTGGTTTTCTTTCACGATAAAAGTCAAGTATGTTTGTTAAATGTTCTATTCATCAAATTGTCAATAATTCTTCTTATTCGTTGACTTTTTCATTTAAATTATTATTATCTCCATTAGAAACATATTTATTGTTATTAAACACACGTGAGTTCGACGTTGTTGTATTAACACGAGAGAACACGACTACTTTCGAGACAAAAGATTTTTCGTGGGATATGTTTTTGGTCAACCTTCGGCTGTTTTTAAACTGTCATTGCCCCTCCACTATCAGCTGGCACCAAGAAAATGGGCAGACGGTGTCTTCTCTGTCCTTATAATAGCGTTCTCGATGTGTTAGTGGGGGTGACGCGACGTTCATTGCCAAATATTCAAAATGAGTCGTCATGTAAAATGATTTCAACAAGAATGAACCGAAACATTTCTCATCAATTTGTCATTTACACTTGCTTCACTTTGAAACATTGATCTCTAAAACTTGCTAATAACACATTTCATTCATACCGATGTATTGTATACTTTCTATTATTCTTAGTATAACGTATGCGAATAAGATTACGTGTAAGAATTTGTATTCATTCATTTTATTGCTCATTGATATTCGATAATATATTTATAAATAATATATATATTTATTTTACTTTCTTTTTTTATTTATATCGATTCACATATATATTTTAGTATAAATAATATAAAACTATATATATTTAACATTATTCCCGATCTAATTTTATAATACAATATCGATCGTATATTCTATTACGGTAAAATATTTTCCCAAGAAAGATTCTACGACTTCGACGCGAAACTTTCGCTCACTTAGTTTTTAATGGAACGATAAAGAAGAAGAAAAAGTAGAAGAAGAAGTAGAAGTAAAAAAAAAAGAAAAAAAAAAAAAATAAGAAAAAAGTTGTCTGGAACTATTTTTGGAACGACGCGCGACGCAGAAAATCTGAAATTCTTTTGCAAACCACTTTATTGCCTGTCACGGTTAGATCCAATTAACGTTTCCGGAATTACATTCCAACCTTGTTTACTCGAAATACAAAATATAATGTTTTAATGTTATTGACATTTTTCGCTGATAAATAAACCATGAAAAATATCACAGTTGTTAATTTCGTATATTCAAAAAAAAAAAAAAGAAACAAAACAATATTCCCTAGTAGCACAAAATATTGAAAAATTATTTATTTTTAAATACACATAAATAATTTATTTATTAAATACACATGTATTCAATATTTTTCAATATTTTGTGTGCTACTAGGGTTATATTATTTATATAAAATATAATACTAATCCCTTAAGAAACAATTTTGGCTCAACATAATATAACGCCGCTCGAGTTAACTCGAGCGTGCAACTTTTAAGAGGGTTAAATTATAATATTAAATTATTATTATTATTTATATAAAAATAAAAATTAATATTATTTCCATATATCGAATAGAATAATTTCTTTTGATCGTGTGTTTATCTATATACAGTATTTTTTTTATTGGTATAACGATCGGAACGAGATGTAACTATCAACTTGTTACAGTATATCAATTGAAAGAAATTCAGGTTAAAAAAAATAAAAATAAAAATAAAAAACATTTTAATTGCGTTTCTCTAGCAAAAACGAAAACCATCGATAAATTTTATGTAGGTTCTTCTCGAATGTTTTTCCACGTTAATCCGGTAGTACCATCTGTCGGCTTTCGTTTCGACGAGTTTGTTCCTACTTCTTGTATCATATTAGACACGGTTGCCTTGTTTTTCGAAACTAACGCAGATACAGTGAGTATACGTTCTAGTAATTTCGCAAATCCTAAATGTTAAAGTGCTTGAAACATACTAAAGTTCTAATTCGCATTTCATCGTTATGTTAATATAGTGAGCGATTTATTATACTCTACAATCGATCCAACAATAAATACAAAATTTTATTTTTGTTATAAAATGTATCATTATATTAAAAGAAAAATAATTGTTTAAAAATGCAAAAAGAAACCACGATTTATTCTTTGCATAAAACCAACCATTATTCTTTGTATAAATTTACAAATGTATTGAATTTTAATTCATTGTATAAAAGAAAAAGGGTTTTTACGATTGTTGTTTAGTCAAATAAAAATTAATATATTTTTAAATATCGATTATAATTTCGATTTGACGAGAAAAAGAAAAAATAAGAAAAGGTGTGTTATTGCCATGTCAAATTCGAATTAACGTACAACAAAAGCGTTGGTAACATATTGAAAATTTAACGAGCAAAACGTTTAGTAGCGATTAAAATTTGATCGTTCAGTAGATAAATAAATTTATGGTCAGACGTATTACTTTCTCGTGCATCAAAACACGTACTAGTAGTAGACATATATGTACAATACAAATATTACGTAATTATTTCGAATCTGATTTAAATGTACGATTTTCGTTCTACATTTATTTATTATTATTCTTTGTTCCTTTTACTACCTCTTTTAATATTTAAATAATTAAAATTATCGATTATACAATTATCATAAAATTTCTTTTGAAGAAACGTTCGAAAGTTTGATATATAAATTATAATCATAATAATTATCATCTAACAATGACACGCATTAATTTTTCCTCTTTCTCTTCTCGTTTTCTTGTTTCTTTTTTCTTTTTTCGAAATTAATTGAACATTTTAATCGAACTTACCAAGTTTATGGTTACGATGAGATCGTATTGTTGCCTCTGGCCTTTCTTTTTGTTCTTTCCCGTTTTAACGGAGGCAGCCTTAGGGGTAACTTTGACCTGTCCTTTTTGTGCAGATGGCTTCTGAGCTGGTTTAGTCGCAACCTTGGCACCAGGTGCACCCTTTTGTCCACCAGCAAGCGGTGCCTTTTGACCGGCCGCACCTTTCTGATTTACGTGGCCTACTCCATCGGCTGGCTTGTTGCGTGCCTGATGGATAAAAAAAAAACAAAAAGTGTAACTGGTTAGATGTAACAATGATAAGAATTTAAGTACTTTAACATAGATAACAAATCATACGGATTGAATAATACGTATCGTAAAGTTTTTTTTTTTCAAACTCTTTCAAAAGTATTATCGTGCGTACACGATAAAAAAAATAAAGAATGAAAAAAGAAATATATAAATTGAAAATATTATAAATTATTAAAATAATAATATTAGTATATTATATACATAAAAAACTTATTTAATATATTTTTAACATATATTTTATTTTTATTTTTTGTATTTTACTAATTAATATATTTTTTTTTGTTATTTAATTATATATAATTATTATTATTAAAAGAATAATATAAAATATATAATATACTCGTATTATTTTTATTTGATTTATTTTGTATATTTTTATATTTTTATTTTATTATTTTTATATATTAATTGATATAAATTTACATATAAAAATATATATTATCATAGAATGACATGAAAATTTCTTTTTGTTCATTCGAAACACCCTGCTATAACATCTGGGTCCCATACTCTAAGCTAGAAAAGTATGAATGTGAAACTTAACTCGATTATTATTATTGAAGTAGTTTGCTCGTGTATATACGCATGCATTAAGTTGCAATAGTCAAAATGAAATTTCACTGTGCAAGTCGACGGGACTGTTAAAATGGGAAATAAAAGGAAATAAAGATAGAAAGGAAGGAAGGAAGGAAAGAAGGAAGGAAAAAAAGAATATAAAAAGAATCCGGAAAATAGTTTGAAGAGAGAACGAAACGTGCGAGAAGACGAAGCTTTAAAATTATCGGCTCGTAAATTCTCGTTCTTTTAGGTGGTTACGAAAAAGATGGAAGATTTTGTGATATTTTCCTCGTGTATAGGAGAGGTAAAGAGGCCCATATTGTGTTCTCTCGAAAATAATAACAATAATCCTCATATGCCAACGTTGTTTTATCGTCTTTCTTGCAGAATAAAGCTACAAGAAGAAATTGTAGGATGAAGAAGAACAAGAAGAAGAAGTTCTCTTTTCCAACCAACACTATTCACCAAAAGTTATATTTTACTCTTAAGAATTCGTGTAACTTTATGATCGTCACTAAACAGTTGCTCGTAAAATTTCCCAAAATATTCTTACACAGTTTCGCAAATCTTATTATTCTCGTATGAATCATCTTTACGATTTGGTGTCATCGTGTGTCGTTACAAAACGACGATCATCTATCCATCCCGGAAACAGAAATCTAAACAAAATCTAACATTGCAGTATAAACGTTTATCTTTTAAAACTATTTTATCGTTTCTTATTGGCAGACGGAGACAACGATAACGTTCACCAAAGTGAAAGAGAGAGAAAAAGAGAGAGAGACAGACAAAGAGAGAGGAGAAGAAAAAAAAAAAAAAAAAAAAAAAATAATAAAAAAAAATACAAAAAGATAATATGTAAATACTTATTTGTTGTTTACGATGATTTTGGAAAAATATCTTTCATAGAGGGGAGGACAATAATGTTGTGGTGATTCTTCGATCTTTAATACATTCGGATTTGAGTTGAAAAGGTTTTTTTTTTATCGAAAAAGAAAATAAAAAGTGTTTTGATTTATTGGTTTGATTATTGAAACCAAAGGAAAAATCTGGGACAAAGGAAATGGTCGATGTTAAAGAGGAAATGTAAAAGTAATCTTGTTTCTTACTGTCAATGTGAAATCCTAGAAAGATAGCCAAAATTGGACCATCGTTGATCACAAATCCTTGTTCATCCCTTACAAACCACCCAGAAACGTTTGTTTTTTTTTTTTCTTAACGATATTTCACTTTCAATTCTTTTTCTTGCTTCTCTTTTTTGTTTTGTTTTATGTTAAAGAATCGAATTCGACAAACGTGTTTTCAAACGATCGTATACGAAGCCTCCCCTTTCTCTCATCCCCAATGTAAATTTAATTTAACGAATAAATCAACGGTGAGAACGATGGTTACAAGAATGGAACGGGATCTTTTTAAATGAACGAACAAAATTTTTTTTTTTTTAATATTTTAAAGATATGCAAAACGAATTTGTCAAAAGCTTCATCACGTTATCTCAATAAATTTGAATTTTAACGATTTATTCTCGAGAATATACAGGGTGATTCACCAACACTTGCCACCTAAATAGCTCTGAAAGTATGAAAGTACCAGAAAAGTGGATAAAGAAAAAGTTGTATGAAAAATTCAGAACTACAATATGACATTAGTAGTTTTTTATTAGGTTGAAATATTTTTGAGATTTATTGGTCAACTTTGTTCTTTTAAATACAATGTTATATTTTAATACTTATTTTCGGATAGCGGCTGACAAGACGAATCCAATGATGTGCAACATTAAATACAAAATTTGACAATGATCAATAAAACCTATTCGGAAAATATCTGTTCCGTTCGTAGAACAACTAAAGGATGACGTAACCTTGACGCAACCCTGACGCGACCATGACGCGGAAGAGTTGCATTGTGGCTAGCTTGTTCACCAGTTTTTACTTTTGTTGACTTTCAAAAATATTAATGTTGCATATCATTGGATTCATCTTGTCAGCCGCTATCCGAAAATAAGTATTAAAATAAAACATTGTATTTAAAAAAACAAAGTTGACCAATAAATCTCGAAAATGACTTAACCTAGCAAAAAAATACTTATGTCATATTATAGTTCTAAATTTTTCATACAACTAGTTCCTTATCCACTTTTCTGCTACTATCATACTTTCGGAGCTATTTAAGTTGCAAAAGCTGCTGAATCAACCTGTATATTCTAATGAATTTTTTTGTCCTCAACGATGTTAAAAATTCACGTTTCTTTTCGTGGTCTATCACTAAAAAAGAAAAGAAAAAAAAAAGAAACAAATTATATTCGAAGAAGAATAAGGACGCTCGATATTTTCAATAAACTCATCATAGTGCGCTATCGAAAGAAAATGTATAGAGGAAAGCCATTCCGTATTCGAACACAGATGAATTTCCTATACCATTTTTACGTAAAATGGATGTATCGATAAGGCCAGCAGATTGAAATTATCCGGTTAGTATTGGTTTTTGCCCCACCCCCTGTCCCCTTTATTTTCCCTTAAGAAAAAAAAAAAAGAAGAAAGGACGAATTCGGAATATTCGTCGTGAAACTAACCCTTAAAGGGGAACAAAATATTACTACTAATTATTATTAAAAATAGTATTACTAATACTTTCAAAAATATTATTATTAATATTAAAAATATTATTAGGGGGAATATTATTAAAATATTATTATGATATAGTATTTAAAAATTTTATAAAAATATATATTACACAATTATATATATAATTATGTAATAAATA